TTGACGCTCTGTTGGAGTTGGGGAGCATCTAGACGGAATGAACTTTCCATCCTTCACTTGGCGCTGATAGAGCTCATACCGGAAATCTCTCAGCGCAGCCTCTCTTGCGTGCTTTGGCAGCTCCTTGGTGACCGGAGCTGTCACCTTGCGGTTGGCGCCGCCGTTGGGAGTGATCGGCCCCTGCGTCCCTGGTCCTGAACTTGAGCTCGCCGCACCACTCCTTGAAAGCTGCTCTTCCATCCGCAAAATCCGGGGTCGCTCCACCGAAGTCCACGCCAAGTGCTCCTCTTCAATCTCCAGCGCCTTCCTCAGCTCTTTCTTCTCTTCCTTGGTCATCTTGTCCAGCACCGAGATGACCTCCTTGGGCTTCAGCTTTATCTTCTCCTCTTGCTTCTTCCCCGGCTTCATACCCGCAGCTTCCTTGACTGTGCTCCTCTTCACGTCATAGGTGTAGCTGGGGGTCTCCTCCTCATCGTCCGTCTCCTCAACGATGAGAGTCTCCTCATTCTCTTCTCCTACCAGGCCCCAACCTCTCTTATTCTCTGACATCCTGTCATCTCGGTACAGGTTCTGCCCGCAGTTGCTACAGAACTTGCAGCTCTCTGCCATCGGCCACTTGCACCTAGGGCAGATGTCCATCAGTGGCGTCTCCTCTTGGTTGTAGCCACCGCCGACCATGAAGGTGAAGTGCACCTGGTTGGGAGCGCTGGCAGCAGAATCGCTCTTCCGTGAGCTCTTGTCGGAACTCCAGGGATGCTTCTTGGCGGTGTGTACCTTGTCCTTTCCGCTCTGAACATTCGGGCACTCCGGATCTCCTCGCCAATGCCCAACCCGTCCACAACTCGCACACGAAGATTTCTTCTTCCTCACATCAGGGGCAGCTGAAGCCGAACCGGGGGTTCTCCATCCTCGTGCTTTCTTGTGGTCGGCCTGTTTTGCTTTCGCTTTCCAGCCAGCGGCATAGGCCTCCTTGAGATCCTCCTCCGGAAGGTCTTCCTCCTCCGAGACCACCTCATCCATGAGCACGCTGAGCTCTTTCTCCAGCTCGTCTGGCTCCTCGATCTCGACCTCTTCCGTCTCACGCAGCGTCTCCAGGTAGATCTGGTAGGCTTCCTCATCCTTCTCCAGATCCTCAGGCTCTTCATCAAAACATGCCTCATCATCCGCGACCACATGAGTTCCCGATGGTCTGGTCCTCCATTTGGGCTTGGCCGCCATCCGCTCCACCGTTTTGTACTCACCGTACCCGCTCCTCTGTAGGTGCGATATGGTTGGGGTGGCGGTGGTCGTCCTGGTAGACGTCGCTCATCCTCGTGTACCTTTCCACACCGGTACCTCAGAGCACGCTCAATATCGCTCGGAATGTAGCGGCCTCCAGCGCTGAAGAAAACATCCAGCCTCTCTCGCCTTCCCAACGAGCACTTGTTCAGGAGTCTCTGTGCCCATGCCCGGTCTGACATGTAGCTGTCCGGATCCACTCTGTGGTACTGGGCCTTCAAGCGCTTCATCTGGCCGATGTACGATGCCACGGACTGGCCAGGCAACCTGCGGTAATTCATGAACTCTGCCTCCGCCCTCTCAAAGAGCTCCTCTTCCGTCTCTCCGAAGGCCTCGTTCAGCAATCCCCACAGTAGCTGTAGTCCGCCGCCCTTCGTGTACTCGCCGATGGCCCGCTGCTCCAGACAGTCCCGCGCATCCTTCTTGGTGCTCAGGTAAACCAGCATGGCCAGCTCCGCATCCTCCAAACGGTAGAGATCCGCCTGCGCCTCGATCGCCTCGCCCCCCCAGACACGACCCGATCTCCGACGTTCCGGCGGTTGAGCTGGACTCTCCACCTTCATCTTCGCCGCCATCACCATCTCTCCATGGCGGCTTGCCGGACTTCTTCTTGGCTCTCCGTCGTCGCTGCTCGTCTTCCGACTCACAGTCTTCATCATCACCGCCATCATCTCCTCCTCCGCCGGATCCTCCAGGGCCAGGAGGCGGTGGCGGTGGATTCTTCGGCGGCTTCGGGGCGGCCGCCTTGCTCTTCTTCGACGCCTTGGCCTGGGTGGGCTTCCCTCTGCTCTCCGGATTGTCTCCGGTGTCGCGTTCACGATCTCCTGAAGGCCTCCGTTCAGCTCCTTCAGTGGGTGCCCTCGTCCATGAGATGGCCCAGCCGATGAAGAGCTCGACTCCTGATGGCGTTGCTGCTGCCAGAGGTTGTAGAACCACTTCACAAACTCTGGCGGTGGCGCATCACCATCAGACGCTCCCGCGGCATGGCCAGGGCTCTGAGCTCCAGGGCGATCACCTCCAGCAGCCTGCCCAGCTGCCGGTGCCCAGGGATCATCCGCCTGCAGCGGATCCTCCTATTCCTGGCCATTGGCCGCTCCAGCTGCAGCGGCAGCCTCACCATCGGACCCTTCCAGGTCCTCGTCATCGCCGGGCACCGGCGAGGCTTCTGCCTCCGCGTGCGCCGCACGCCGGGTGCGAGTGGCCATCCGGGGCAGAGCAGCCTACACCACAACAGCCCCAAACAACCCCTCAAAACCCGCTCCGCTACCAATGTGGGAGCGGCCCCAAAAGAACCAACCCCCAGAACAGATGATGCCCCTATTAGGGGGACTCAAGCGCAAAGCAGGCAGCAACCTTTCTTGCATGCTAAAGATCTGTGCACAGCTGCGGTTTGTCAACAGCGCCATGCCGCTTGCAACTCACAGAGACAAGCATCGGGACCATTCAAGCCTAACCTGCCTCACGCCTTCATAGGTGTCGTCTTAGGGGAAATAGATGGAGATTGTTGGTAGAGGAAGAAAAATCCACCAGGTCAACCAGGAATCGCCATCGATTTTTCGACCAAGACTACCAAAAAGAACACCTATGGCCAAGAAGTGAAGAAGTGGATCACTAAAACCAGTCAATCACCCCAATCAACATCAACCGGGGGGTTAGTAATCCGGGCTCAACATGAGTCACAATCAAAGCCTGGCACCAAAAATGGTGCCCAGAACCATGCTTCAAGAATTCGAAAGGCGGCCGGAAAACGATTTCCGGTTGCGTGCCCCTTACTGGAAAACCACGAGAAAGAGGGTGTTCTCACTAAATCGGAAGAGCTACAATGGGGCATTTGGGGGTCACTAATAAACCTCCAGGTTATATATATATATATATGTGTATATATATATATATATGCGGGCTGTCCGTTCTCAGATCCCTTGCTAAAAGTGACTAACTTTTAGTTGGTTGGATACGAAAACCTAACCACTAAAATAACTAAGCAGCTAAAAGGCTAAGGACCGGATGCACACTGCACCTCTTTTCCATCCCTCTCCCCCTCTCCCTCCCACTGCCCCCACCTCATCACTACTTGTTCGCCCAGCGAGAATTAATCCTACTTGCAAATGGGACGGGACACCTTCAAGAGCTGTCAAGAGCTCCAGGTGGCTTCTGGAACTATGGTTGGGGGCAAAAGGCGATCCAAATGTCAAGCAAAAGCGCTTCAAAATGCAGGGGGCAACAAATAAAACCGAACCCGCGACCGAACCCAGCTGTCGAAGCTGCTGTCTCCATACTAGAGGCAGGGGCACACAATGCAGACCAACTAAATTGCCAAGTAAACAGCTTGCTGGTGCTCAGTAGGGAATGAGGGAATGAACCTGGGGATTCCCTGAAAGGAAACTACAAGGGATGGTTTATAGGTGATTCCCTCATTCCCTGCTGAGCACCAGCAAGACAGACTACAACACAACCCAATTCCACCTTTTCCTCCCACAGTAAAACTCCGACACATCATACGCTGCACACTAAAGGGAGTGCACCCCCCCCTCAAAGAAAGTCAAAGAAAGACAACTCCACATGAGCAGTGTTCTAAGAACTCCTTTGGCATAGACAATAAGGCCTACCAAATAGAGATTCCCTGTATGGTGACTACAATTATTTCGTTCATTTGGCTTGTGTTGGTTTTACCAACCCGCAACGGGAGTTTTACCACAATGCTCATATGTGCATGTGGGTACGCGGAAAAAATGGTTCGCAACCGTTTCTGCGTTGGTTGCACAAAATCGGCGGTAACCTGAGAAAACAATTTCAAAAGTTGGACTTGTCCACTGTTTCTTGTTGGTCTCTTGAGACGAGGCGACCCCCAGTTTTGACACATGCCAATCGCAACTTGGGGGGTGATTCAAAAGGTTCTTTACATGGGATGACCATCAAGTAACCGCCAAAAAAGTAAACCTTTCCCACTAATTGGGGGAAAAGCTATGCGAGCTCATTTGGGGGTCAGAAATATTGATCAACCCTCAGCTGGCAAACCTCCAGCATTTGGTAAAAGACATGGTTCCTTGAAGACTCCTCGTGACCATTCCCCCCTTGACAGGAACCAGCGGCCACTGGGCCGAACCCTATCGCAAGGATCTTTGGTTGCCAGGGGCTGCAAAACAGACTTCGGTGTCTGTTTTGAGGTTGGATCCCCCAAAATGGCCTCGGCGTTCCTCTTGGTTTCCTCTCAAACCCCCAAAATGATTGGCTACCAATTTAAAAAAAGACACACCCATGTTAGTCCCTTAGAATCACCAAGTTGCTCCATTCAATCCTGGCTGAAAAGCGATCGGATGGAAGACTACCTTCCCTGAAGAAAAAAGAATGCGTGGGGTGGGACAGTTTGGGACTTTGTTGCGACCTCCTTCTTGAGCGCATTGGTTTTCGCAGAATCCACGCGATGCTTGTGTCCACCCGTATGCCCCCCCCCTCCCCCCGCTTTAGGGTCCACTTGGATTTGGTGGAGCCGTGGGCGCAGCTTTGCACAAAGGTTTCCTGGCAGCTCAACATGGGTTCCCCCCACACAAAAGAAAAAGTGGTTTCCAGTGTTCCTGTTGCAACACCAGGTAAACAAACATACGTGTTCCTGTCGGCTTTTCCTTTCAAAGCCACAAGATGCCCGGCTTTTCCCTTTTGGCTTCCTGAACAAACCACCAGGCCCAGAACAGCGCCGCACCTCCGGACCCCTTGCGCCCAGGCGCTTAGGGTCCGCCCGCTCAGCCGCGGGCTTCAAGTCCAGCCACAGCAAGGTCTCCCACGCCTCCGCCTCCGGCGACTCGACGGTCTCGAGGGTCTCCAGCTTCTCGTCCTTCGAGCGAGTGCTTCGGCTTCTTCTTTTTCCTGAGGAGACCTGTCTTGGTTGTGAGAACCCCAAAAACCTATTTTAAAAAAGGAAGGGTTTTGTGGTTTCTTTCTTTTCTTGTTGTTCTTCTGTTCTTTTCTTTTCTTGTGTTTCTTCTTTTTTTCGGGGGCCTGTCTTGGTGATGGGAACCCCCGAAACCAAAAAAACATGCTTTCTCTTCTTTTTTTCCGGAGACCTGCCTTGGTTGTGGGAACCCCAAACACGTCAACAACCCCAGGAAGGGCTCGCGGTACAGAAAAAAACAACGCGTGAAGGGAACCCAAGAGGAAAGTTGGGTAAGAAAGTGTTGGGAACCCGAAAGGAAGGGCTCGTGGGATCACTCGGGGTTTCTCCAACCACTCCTGTGACACCTTCGAGAGTCTCCCCCTGTATACGGGGAGTCTGTGTTTGGGAAGCCCTGCGTGCATCACAGAAGTGGATTCCATTTCCCACAGCCCTGTTCTTGGTGGGAATGACCCCGAGAAGGGCGTGCGGTATTTTTTGAAGGGAACCCAAAAGGAAAGCTCTGAAGAAAGTGTTGGCGGGTCCCCACTTGCTGCGTTCGATGGGCAGGGAATGAGACATGGCTCATGACCCCGAAATAAACCATCCCTTGCTGGTGGTTTCCTTCAAGGGGACCAAAGCCTGGGTTCATTCACGCTCATTCCCTACCTAGCGCACCAGCAAGCCTGCTTCAACATCCGAGTTGAAACCCCGGGAGGTGAGGGGGTGTTGCTTGGTTTTGTTTGTGGGCATTGTTTGTTTGGGCTGGGATTGAAATGCCAAATTTCATACTTATCCGCTGGATGCATCGAGTTGTGTATAGGTTTCAGTCCAGGATGAGCATTCTGATGTCGAAGGCTGAATGAGTTTCTAGTCTGAGTTGTTTTCGCGTGGGCGAATGTCGCACATAAGTCGTGTAGCAACCCCGGAAAGCAGTAGCACTGGAGAGACCCTGTTCGGGGAGCCCGTTCCATGCTAATCTACAGGGTAGTGTTGGGTTTAGGATGGATAAACACCATATGGGTCTGTCTTATTTTGAGGGTACCCTTTTTGGGTTTGGCTTGAAGGAAAGCCAAAAGAAAAACCAAGGTCCCCCCCCAAAAAAAAAAACATCCATGTGAGACTCCCTTCTAGTACGCTTGGAAACGCTTCCTTGGCTTGTAATGGCTCCCTAAGGAACCCTTACGGTAAGGTTGTTGATACCCCTAACTCAGCTCACCGTTCTTTTGAGGATGGCTCGTCTTTTTTAAGGATATGGAACCTCCAAACTGGGTGCTTCCGCGGTTTGCCATTTGCCCAGTACCCAAAATCTGGCACGTAGCCGCGGCCCGTAAACGCTTCAACCGGAAAAACTCACGTTCCATAAGCCCCCTTTGAATCTGTCGCGCTCACCAAGAAAAAAAACGGACGCTACTAGAAGTCCGGGTGCCAAGAAGGAAACCACCTGCAACACTTTTCCCGTTTTTTTCCCGGCAAAAAAGAAGACCCAAAGGATCCCGCGCGCCTCCGGCACCTCCGTGGAACCTTCAGACTGAGTCTTGGTCTCCTCCTCTGCCATCCAAAAGCTCGCGCCCGCGGCGCGAGAAGCGCGCGCGCCACACGCTCGTGAGGCGATCTCGCGAATCCGCGCGCGGATTCTCTGGTTCGAGCTGCAAATTGCAAGGCACGGAAGCAGATGGCAACGCAGTAAGCAGGTGGAACAATTTTGGGTAAACCCGGGTTGAGAGGGGACCCAGAAGGCTTTTTGGAGGAACAACCTCCAAAAGAATCCACCTGGCTGATTGATGTGGGGTTGACAGCAGAGATCTTGCTTTTCGGGAAAATGGTGGAATGAGCCCTTCTCAAACTCGAAGTTGTCGAGTACTCTTGACATCTGCTCAACCCGTGTCAACCTGGCAGGATCCCTGGCCCAAATCCACGCCGATCAACCAGCATTCCTGGAGTTCCTCCAGCAGCAAATTTGTGGCGTCCAGCCTCATGGCAACCTAAATCCAAAGCTGATTTGTTTCATCCAGTGCTTTCCAGCTACAATTCTGACAGGGAAACCAGACACAAGGCATCATGTAAATGCTAGAGGTTGCAAATACCTCGTTGCCCAGTATCATGATAGCTGGAAGCACTGGGTAAAGTTGTCAAACACATGTCACAATGTGTGCGCAAAACGTCTCTTGCGCGGGACTTACAATTACAATCAAAGAATAGCGAGCATTGATGTCTCGCCCATGGTTGTCTAGTAGAGTTGACTGCGGGTGGGATCGGGATGGCGCATCTCTCAACATGACCACCCTTCAGATCGCTTTGCTATTGTAACATTACACGCACATCTCTCAAGTTCAGCCCAAACGAATGGCTCCCCTCCTTCTCGTCTGAACTTTCCCAATGTGAACCCATAAAACCCACCCCCACCCCCTGAACTCGCGGCAACTCGCGGCAACTCGCGGCAACTCGCGGCAACTCGCGGCAACTCGCGGCAACTCGCTCTCGCCGTTTTGGTTGTTCGCTGTCCCCGTGTGGTACTACCACAATTCTCCAACTCCAGTTCGAGGGGTCCGCCATAGGTGTCCCTTTTGAGGCAAAAAAAAACGTGCACTGGATACTGGACGACCAGAACCAAACTGAGACCAGTTTGGCATTGTTGGATTTTCAACAGGATCCAAAAGGACACCCATGGGGGTCGCCTTCTTCCCAGCAGATCCCAGAAGCGACACCCCAGTGGCAAGGTTCTTGACGCGGCTGTTTCGCCGTGTCTCGGCGGTTTCGCAGGGCTCGAAAAGGAGCGCTTACAGCGGCCGTGCGAGGCCAGCAAACAGGGTTGCTCGCAAAAAGTGGGCATCCTCGTAATTATCCCCGAAAGCATCTCAAACCGAGCAAAACACCCTGGAGATCTGTCATGCTCCCCTTGAGTTCCGGGAAAAGTCGGCGAGCAACCTGGGAAAAAGGCCAGGAAAAGCAAGGGAGAGACTTACGAAGGCTGCGCCTTTGGCCCCCCGCTACCGACTCACAGCATGCAATCCCCATTCCTCGGCCGGACTAACCGGCGAGAGAGTGTCTTCGGCGGGCGCGTGCCGCCGAAAAGGGGCGAATTTTCGAGCCCCTGCAAAGGCCCCAAACCACAGGCGGTGGTGATGGATAAACTCTTGCACCAGCCGAGAGGTGTAACTGGCTGGGGTAAATGAACATGAACACCTCCTGCTTTGTGAGTCGTGTTTGGTAGGTAAAAACAGAACCTGCGCCTTCGCCCCAAAAAAGGTCAGCCAGGTAACCAGGTAACCGTACCGATCCTTGCTTGCGCATGTGCGTGTCACACTGGCGGCTTGAGTGCAGGACGACTCCATCCCCAGTGCCAGGGTCAACAGTCCAACAATCTGATCATTGCTTGCTCCAATCTGATTGGGAGTTTGATCCCTAAGCCTTCGAACAGATTTCCAGTCAAGTGATGTCGCACATCGGGGCCTTTTTTGCAAGAGGCCCGGCAAGAAGAGGTGGTCCCTGTCAGGCTCCATGGTAATTGGTGCGAGGGTAGCATTTTTTTCAACGACTAAACAATCGAGCAACCAACCCAGTCACTTCTTCTTGCCCGGTGTCTTGAGCTGCATAAAGAACTGGTCAGTTACCGTGTCCTCTGTATTGGGCAAACGCTGTACAAGTTTGAAGCCGTGGCGCCTGTAAAACTTCACTGCAGAGGGCAGCGACGAAAGCCCGACCGTGTGGACCTGGCGACAAGAAGATTGGCTCTCTTCACTGGTGGTATGCCTGCTGCAGGAGGAAAACTTCAAGGAGTCCATACCTAAACCTCACTCAGGCTAGGAAAAGACGGAGACTTCCCAAAGCACGCAAGCAACAAGAACACAAACAAGCAAGCTAAATTTCACACACAACTAGACACTTCTCCCGAATTGTGTGCGTTGATTTCTTCAAGTTGGGGTGCCTCAAGTAGAAGCTCCTTGAAAGTACACGTGGTTCAACCCTGTCACCCAACCCGAAAGATCGGCGCTTTTCCTTGGGCGCAGGTCCCAAACCGGGCGGAAGCGGGGCCTCCGGGAGCCGCTTGGCCTCAGCGATGAGGCACTTCAGCAGCGTGCTGCCGAAGCCAAACCGCCGGTGCTCCTCTGCGCCGGGGGTGGGGGTTGCAGCGGGGGGGGGGGGGGTCGGGTGGTTGGTGGGGTGGTTGGTGGGTGGTTGGTGGGGGGATTGGTGGGGTTCGGGGGAAGAAGGCGGGTGGGGAAGGGGGGGAAGAGGTCAAGGCAGGTTGGGACTGGTTGATTCTGCCCCCAAGGAATTCTACAGCCCCTTCAGAGGGGCTGCTGGCACACATGTAGGGTTCGCAGAAAAGTGATATCTGCAGATTCTGAGTCATTCTTGGCCTATCCTCCCACCAATTAACATGGAACTTGACAGGGACCCGGCCCCTTGAAAAGGAAAACTGTCTTTTAGGACAACCCGAACCTCAGGTTCCATGTTAAGCCATAGAATACTTTTGGGGAGGAGACCTAAGTAAGGTAAAGGGAAAAGGTAGGAACGAAATGGTGCAGTGATACCAAAGTGGGCCTCCTTACGTCTGCCTTGTTTGTCACTTCAGGAGAATTCTCGATACCAGCCCATTGAAAAGGCCCCAACTTCCAGAACTGTCGTAAAAAGAGTAAAGGAGCGCAACACAAAAATGTCAGAAGCGGTAATCCCCTCGTGTCAATCGGGGAGGGTCAAGAAGATTCCTTTAATCCTTTCAGGTGGAGCTGTAATGGGAGCGACTGGCGCTGCCTTTTTGTTTGCCCTCGAGGGTTATTCTAGGCTAAACTGAGGATGGATTCTTTAGCACCCTGCTCCCCAAGCCACCTTCATGGCGTCTTCCAACTTCATTGCAGTTACCTGAGTCATAATCAAAACCCATGAGTATTGAACTGGTCTACCTAAAACCATGCTTCAAGAATTAAGAAGGTGTAGGTCCGCATCCATGGCTGGGATTGTCCCTCACCCTCCAATCACTTGGGTCTTGAGGGCGTGACTCATCTGAGATCTGTGTTGTTCCCATCAGTTTCCCTGCCCTCCTCATGCCCAGACCCTAAATTGGGGCCGCCCTAAACTTTTGCACGGTGCCTCTGCCCCACGCCACGGTGAAAAGGAATCAGCTCAGAACTGGACCCTAGGCCAAATATAAGAAGCTACATACTTGGAATGGGATCTGAGGATACGTGAAGCCAAACCAAGTCATGACAATGATAATGCATGCAATTGTTGAAGCTAGAGACCCTTGCACACATAGAGAACCCTTTGTTTGAGAAGTTTAGTGCAGAACCCACCCCTTTCAGGGTTGGTGTTGATTTGAAAGCCAAAAGGACGGCGAAAAAGGCGGGTTTAGAGGAAAGGCTGGTACAACACAGTAAAAGCAGATGGCACAATTCCCTTCATATGGGTAAGTACCTGGGAGAACTAAACCAAAATCATGGAATTGTGCCATGTGCGTGTTCTTTTGTTGAGGGTACCCGTTTTGGTAGGCTTTGAAGGGACACCAAAAGGAAAACCACTCGTTTCGTGGGCTCCCCTCGCCCAAAAAAAACAGATGAGCCGCCCATCGTTTCGTCCCTCACACACCAAAAAAGAAACGGAAAATCGGGCCCCAAGTTATCGGGGTCCTCTGGCACGGCAAGCTGGGCCACGATCATTGCGTTCTTCTCAGGCTTGATGCGGAAAACAATGAACCCAAGCAGCTCGGTCGAACCCCTGGGATCGAGCAAACGAACCAGAACAACAGAAATATATATATATATATCCGCCGACATTGCTCGGCGTGTCGGATACTTACTAGAGGATAGAGGATAACCCCCCCCCTAACCCCCCCCCGCCCGACGTCTATTACGTAGGTTTTTGGGGGGGGGGGGGTCCCCCACGTACCGCGCGGCAATTTGATGACGTTCCACTAAACGTAGTCTTCGGGGAGCCGGTGTCGCAAAACAGGGGTCCCAGGCTCGATTCCCCCTGCCGGCTTTTTTGCTGGCTTGGGCTTCCTGCATCCTTTTGCCGAAAATCTGGAAAAACTCAATGTTTTGGGACGTCCTCTTTGCGAAAACGCTGGAAAAACCGTGTTTTTTTTGCGGGAAATACTGGGGAGCAAAGGGGAAGTGCAAGGATACATACATACATACATACTAATACATACATACATAATACATACATACATACATACATTACATACTACATACATACATTACATACATACATACATACATACATTACATACATACATACATACATACATTACATTACATACATGTATACATACATTACATTACATACATACATACATACATTACATTACATTACATACATACATTACATACATACATACATACATACATACATTACATTACATTACATTACGTACATACATACATACATACATACATACATACATACATACATACATACATACATACATACATACATACATACATACATACATACATACATACATACATACCTACATACATACATACATACATACATACATACATACATACATACATACATACATACATACATACATACATACATACATACATACATACATACATACATACATACATACATACATACATACATACATACATACATACATACATACATACATACATACATGTACATACATGCATACATACGAGAGAGGGAGAGTGGGGAGAGAGAGGCTTGGGGGGATGGGGAGGATGGGAGCAGAGGGAGGGAGAGAGGACGACAGAACACACAAGGGAGACAAGCAAGAGAGGAAGAAGGAGAAAAGGGAGAGGACAATGTCGGCGGACTGAGCCGGAGGCTCTAAAGTATATATGTTCCAGGCCGTGAACCCCCCCCCCCAACCCCCAAAAAATAGTAAAAGGAGAATTCAAAGAATTATTCTTTCTACTATTTTTTCTCCAACAGCAACACAACAAACAGAAAACAAAATCCAGAACAACAAGCAAACAAAATAAATAATCACAACCAACAACAAAAATATTTAATCACAGCATGCAACATTAAATAATTCAAACAAGCATACCAACAAAACAGCAACACTCTAAATCATCAAAGAACCCAAACTCAAAAACACACATCAACAAAAAACAAAGCAACATACCAACAAAAAATATCACAAGAGTATCAAACAAAACAAAAACAAACAGCCAAAGCACGAAAAAAATTGAAGAAGCATGCCAAGTCTAAACAACGCACTTTGAAAGAGATAAGCAAATTATAATAATTCAATCTTTACAAACGATAAATATATTACAATTATAACATATAATATTTTACATGTGATAATTATAGTATGGTTGAGAATTATGGGTTAAACATAAAAATCAGCTATTTCTTCCAACATCATTATCTTCAGTGAATAGCACCTCATTTAACTTGTCAGCAATTTCCATTTCAGAAACCCTCGTTTCCATTTCAGAAACCCTCGTTTCCAAAACGGAAACACCTGTTCCAAAAAGCCATTTCCAAAACGGAAACACCTGTTCCAAAAAGCCATTTCCAAAATGGAAACACCACTAAACATGTATTATTTCCTCATCCGAAATACCACTCTGAAATGTCCTGTTTCCAATTAGGAAATACCAGTTTCCAATTAGGAAATACCAGTTTCCAATTAGGAAATACCCGTTTCCAATTAGGAAATACCAGTTTCCAATTAGGAAATCCCAATTTCCAAAATCTGAAACCAAAGTTTCTTGATTGGAAACCACTCAGGAAATGTCAAACTCATCAAAGTTTCCAATATCAAACTACTAGGTATTTTATATAGGTCTTCTTGCTAAATAATTCTAATAAATTCATATTATTAGAATTACTTAGATTTAATTATTCAAAAAATACATATACTCCATCATCGTTTTTTGAAATTTTATAAAACTCTAATGTTTGTTGCTTTGGTTGTTTGATTTTTCCTGTATTCAACATATCACAGTATTTCTTTTGCTTTGTAGGATAATCACCCGTTGGTCTTCCTATAGATTTTGCTTGAAATATCTTTTCGATTTTTTCTTTATCTTCATTGCGTTCAACTGGTTTCATTTTGTCATCAATGGATTTAATCATATCATTTAAGGTTTAGATATTTTTACCAATTAATGTTATCTTCTTCATTAAATCATTAATAGGATAATTCTCATTTTCAGACATTACTATATATTTATTTAGATAATTATTTATTTAATTATACGTTTTATTATATAATTTACCTGAATAATTTAATGTTATATATGTAAATAAATTATATTCTAAGAGTCTTTCACCAATTTTATTTTTCAATTTTATTAAACCTTCATCGTTACCTGTAATTTCAAAAAACTTCAACATTTTATCAAATTTATCTGGTTTAGTTATACCTTTCATAAAATATTTATTGTTAAATTTAGCATCTAACCAATAAAAATATTCTATACTCAATTGTCTAGCAAAGTTTTTATCACCATCGAATATATCATTAATTTCTTCATCGTCAAAAGTTATAATTCTATGGTCTTGTCCATTCATAGTTGGCATTATGATTATATAAATAATTAGATATTTATTTAAATATTTATTTATTTATATTTATAAAGTGCAATTATGTTAAATCTACTCTTTAAATACTAATTTTTCATGATTTGTTTAACAGTTTCCTGAGTTTCGTTTTCATTATTATCGGTTGGTGTTGCTTGCCTACCAAATTTAAAAGTTATACTATGGACATCAGTTTCTAAGTTGATACTGTCTTTAGTTTTATCAATACTCATTTTCTTATCATTTTTACTTATTTTGAAACTTGTTGGAATACATGAACATTTACATGTTTTATTATTTTTTATTTCTAATTCATTTTTAAGTTCTAACATCTTTTTGCACATAGGACAAGCAATCTCAAATACTGATGTTTCTTTAACAATTTCTCCGCTATCTTCTGTTGAAGAAACACTTAAACCTGTCTTATTCTTTTTGTTTTTCTTTTTTGGCATTTATATTAATATTTATATTTTTAATATATTGTATCAAAAACTTAATTAATTCTAAAATAAAATAACATATTTTTTTACATCTATTATCAGTTATTAGTACTTGTTCTATATTTTCTACTTCATCTATTATATTAATATAATCTGAATAACTCCTTTTCATATTAAATAATAAGATAAATTATTTTTTATTTCTGTCTTTCTTTTCTTGTAAAGTTTTTTCATTGTATCGTCTTTATTCCATCTATATTCTACAAATTTCTGATGATGTTTTGAATTTAGATGTTTAAATAAATATTTGTCATCATAAGTTTTACCACAATTGCAATGGATAATTGTCATATAAATAATAAGATAAATTATTTTCAATTAATCTTATTATTTTCATGCATAATAGATTATTGGTGGGGCACAGCACTTGGGGTTTTCATTGCACGCGAGAGAGATACAAACTAATTAGCTTCAATGCTTACTGATTGAAGCAATGGAAACCTGTTCCATTATGTTATTCACCGCCACTCATAACATAATGATGGTCGCGTTAGCACGCGAGGCTCGTTCCTCGCGTCCATTAATATTAAATAGAATATTTATTTAAATTATTTTCTTTAGCTTTAGTAAGTTTTAGTGCAGTTAGCATATCAACATCTAGAATATTATTATTAATAACTTCTTGTACACTATTTATCATTTCATCTGTATATATATTAGAATAATCTTTCATAAAATTTACTAACTTTCTAAAATTAAAATCTAGGTTATTGTCATTTTCAATTGCGGACTTGGATACTACGATATTATAATTTTTAATTCCAGATAAAAAGTATAACATCGTATCATAATATATTTGTACAGTATCTGGAACTAAGACATCACCAAATTTATATATCCTCCGAATACTAGCCACTTCACTTAAATCAATAGATTCTATAGCCATTATGATATAATTATATTATATATTTTTTTTATTTATAAGTATTTATAATATTATTTTTATTATGCCTGATGTAAAACCAATTGATGAAATCAAATATGACTTTAAGCAAAGTAAGCATGAGGTCGTCCCTAAATTGCCAATGAGAGCTATGATTGTCGGTCCATCTGGAAGTGGAAAATCAACTTTACTTGTATCAATGATACTTGATATTTATAGAGGAGCATTTGAAAGAATTTTTATCTGGTCTCCATCTGTAAATTTAGATAGTATTTGGTTGCCTGTTAAAAAATACATTAAAGAAGGTTTGAAAGTAGATAATGATAAAGAACCGTGTTGGTGGGATGAGTTCAATGTTGAAGATTTAGAAAGAGTTATAGAAACTCAAAATAAAATAATTGAATACCAGAAAAAACAAGGAACGAAGAAATTATTTAATATTTTGGTAATTTTGGATGATGTATCTGATAATCCAGCAATAACAAGAAATAACAAATTGTTAAATTCTTTATTTTGTAGAGGTCGTCATAGTGGAATATCAACACTTGTAAGTCTTCAAAAATCATCAACCGTACCACCAATTATTAGAGTAAATATAAGTCATTTGTTTTATTATAAAGTTAGAAATTTTAAAGAGATAGAAATATTGCAAGATGAATTATCAGCAATTGTTAGAAGCGATAATTTACATGAAAGCAAGAAACTAATTTATAAAATATATGAGACTGCCACTGATGAACCGCATAGTTTTTTATATATT